AAATTAGACCATTTCTTCTTTCTTGCATCACATTACTGTACTCGGTGTTCAAAGAAACGGACAATCTAGTGAGTTCTAGTTCTTTTTAATACACTTGACAGTGAAAAATGCACACTACAGGTGTGCATTTATGGCTTTTTTAATATAAACTGATGAAGAGTTCAGATATCAAAATCAGTTGTTCACTGTACATTATAAATTACACAATATGTTTTGTTTATACTCGCTACTGATACAAAAAAAATTTCTAGAAAAAATTATTTGAATTAAGATGTTACACTACTCTACTGTGTTCATTGTATTAAATCTGCTCAGAGTTGACATGTACTGTATATCCAACCAAGAAATGAATATCATTAAAGTGACAGCTGTATAAAACAAATCCTGTTTTATAGCCACTCACTGTTTTGTTGAAAATGAAATTGGTTATGCTGTTTTGAGTCAGTATTAGCTACAAAGCTGTAGAAATTTAAAAAAAAAAAAAATCCTCCTGACATAGAAACTGATTAAATGTAATAATGTCTTTCTACAAGTGATTTTGAAGTATTGGTAGCACAGCAGGGTCTTGTTCATTCAGTGCATCTGGGAGCTGAATCTCAGGAATGGTGATCTCATTTGATGGGCAGCGATTATGTTGTCCTGTCCAGTCCACACCATAATCCTCATCAACCTGAAAGAGCATGCACATGTTTTAAATCTAAACTGAAGAGGTGTTTCCTGCAGCTGTTCCTAGATGGACTTATTGAGTCTGCCAGGGCCTATGTGAGTTGCTTAGGCATTGGCTACCAACTAATTATTCATTCACCCATTCTAGGTCAGGATTGGTTCTCTTCAGGTATAACAAATTTAACTTTGTTTAAAGTATTGCCATCTATACCTGACAGGTGGGATAAAAGAGAATGGCTTGGGAGGCGCACAGCAAATCTCAAAGTTTTCCAATTAATGCTGAAAGAACCAAGGATGTAAATGTATTCTTGTTTTAGCTTTACCGAAGACACCAGAGAAAGTATATCTATAATGCTGCTGAAATAGACAAAACCATTTCAATAAACTCGCTATTTAACATCAACCTTGTTATGCGTTATCAGAGAACAATCAACTGCAAACAGCAATGAAACATTCAACTATGTACTATTTAAAGCACTAATGACCCTGTTGTCTAACAAGATGTGATAAGTAAGTAGACTGTGGAAAGCTGGTGGGTCTACTCTCTGTGTAAAAGGTTCCTACAGGCTCCACTGACCCCAATCTCCGAGTTAACACACTAACAGCTAACACTGCTAAACGTGTCTCAACGCCGAGATGGCGCCGATAGCTTTAGCCGTAGCTGCCCCACTTAGTTTAGACAGTAACAAAAAAAAGTAAGCGATAATAATTCATTGTCAAACGTCATAATTAAGGTCAACACCTAAACAATGCTGTGTACAGAATCACACAGGTGCTCAATTACAGCATAAACTTACCTTAGACCATCCTCCGTCATTTTCCTCCTAATTGTGCTCGGAGACACAGAAAATGTATCGGCAATTACCCCGACGGTTATCCCGGACAGCACTAAAGTCCTGAGTGCTGCACCGGGATTTCTAGACGTGGACGGCCAACATTTGAAGACTGTTCTTCCTCGGCGTATTCCAAACAAACACGGTGCTGAATTGATCTTAAACCTTTGACAATGCTGTCATCGATGCGAACATCTTGAAGAGCAATTATCATCCCAAGCATTTCAGAAACATCTAAACGACTCAAAACAGTATCTACAGGTAAATGATCCCTCTCTATCTGATTTGCTTAGATGAGCAGAACTGGCTCAAGTTCACACCAGTCCGCCATCCTCCGTGACTTTTGACCTAGCACGCTGTTGCTAGCTGCAGTAGCCGTCCGCGGAGCCGGTATCCAGGAAAACTAGTCGATGGTAAACGATAAGCCAATAGGTGCAAAGGTCCAGCCCACTTACATTGATTGACAGACAAAGTCATTCTGCTGAAAAGTCGCATTATGAAATAAATAGACCATCGGGAAAAACGGGATTTTGAAATAAAGACTGACTTTGAAAAAAGGTCATTTTGGAATAAAAACGGCTGGAAATAAATAAAATGCCTCAGGAATAATCTCTGTTATTGTGAAAATAATGACCATGAAATAATATTTCACAATAATTAAGTAAATTTATATAGCAGAATGCAATATATTTCACAATAATGAGCATTTTTTTCAAAATGTGTTCCATTATTTCACAATATAATTCTCACATTACATATTTGTGTCTTATTTATTCACATAGTTATTTATTTCATCTTGACCTATTTATTTATTTAATTTTGAACACTTTGGAGTTCCATATATATTTAGACGCCGGGCATTGACAGACCTGTTTCTGCCGGAGACTCAACGGACAGTCGGGGATGAGAGCTTTCCAACAAGGTTCCCACATTTAAAATAAACCCCACAATGAAATTTAATGCTAAATACATACCATTAACGTGGTCGCATAAAATGGAAACTAAGAGCAATCCTTGTTTTAAACGACGTGTTAGACCAACGCCAGGACGATTATATAGTGTTATTGCTGCTTATAATAAGAAAACGACAGGTTGAAAAATCCTCTTCCAGCCTACTGAAACAAACCCCTCTTTAGCATAAAAGAAACCATTTGCAGTCGAACCGCGATCACTCACCAGACTTGGGGTACGTTACAATAAGGATGTCATCCGGACGAAACGCAAACTCCTCGTAGTACCTGAGGCTCTCGGGCGGATGGAGACTTGAAGGCACATAGACGCCTTTGTACAGCGTGTATAACTCTGTCTCAGTCATGCTTCAACAAGCAGAAGCAGCTTACTGAAAACAGCTCTGAGAGCTTCGAGCTGAAAAACTGCTGGACTTTGTCTCAACTTAACGCACTATCACTGTTTTTGTAGCTCGAGACTGTAGCGCAACTCCCGCTTCTCCTGTGGTCTCGCGCTGGCTTCTGTTTGCGTCACTTTCCAACAAGTGTGCGATTCTTTGTCAAAGCTCAAGCATTCATGACCAAGTAATCATTGAACGATTCGTGTAAAATTTACGGACTTAGTAATACACAATATATTT